AATGGCTATGTCGCTGGACTCCCATGTAGTCGACCGCGGTTCGCGTCCCGGACCCGGTGGCTTTAAACTCACGCCGGGCGCGTGTGCGTGCGTGCCCAAGATCCCGAGAGGAGAGTGGAGGAGAAGGGATTGCGGCGTGACCATCCCCCCTGGGGGGTGATTTCTCGCTTTCTGTCTCTATGTCTCTCTCTCTCTGGCGAGTGCACGCGCCCTACAGTGAAAATCTCTCCAAAAAAAAAAAAATATGTATTAGGTTGTTAGAAAAGTCATAATGCATTTTTGCATAGAAAAACAGAAAAAAAAATGGCGTGACTTATCCAACAACCCAATAGAAAGAAAAAAATTGTCAAACTATTACAGAATTCTATACCCAGTTAAAATATCTTTCAATGGGCCCAGCAGGTGATGTGGTGGTTTAAGGCAGTAGACTCCCACATGGCCAAAAGTAGTTCGAGTCTTGGACCTGGCAGCTTGCTTTCTTACTTTCCTTCTCTCTCTCTGTCTCTTTCTCTTTCTGGTGAGCACATGTGCCCTATAGCAAATTAAATAATAATAATAACAATAAATAAAATTAACTAATTCTTCAAAAAACTTTCAAGAATAAAGATGAAGTAAGAACACAGCAAAAATGAAAGTTTCAGAGTAAGGACCTCTTTTTCTACATAAAAGTAATGGGGCAAAAAATGGCAGAAATTCTGAGTTTTCCAGAATTCTGAAAATTAACTATATGCATTAAAAAATCCAGGGAACATTTCTTTAAGACAAGCAAGTAAATCTTGGTAAGAATGGTGAAAACAATAGCCTGTCAGCTACTGGAGGGAGAAGAATGGGTCTAAAACCTGATCAATATTATTTCTATTCTTTGCCATTCTTTCACTGACCTATTTATCCATTCTCAATATATAAATATATATATGCAAGGCAAGGTACAGGTACTCAGCATTACATAGGACAAATAGGAATCCAGCCCTTGTTTACATTCTCTAGAAAGATAAATATATTAAAGTAATTAGACAACTATTTAATTACATTTGATATGAATGCAGGAGTCTATGTGTATATAATGAGGGGTTTAGTCCTTTTATTCCTCTGAGAGATTCAACTTCATATGTAGGAAGTAATAAATATCTCAGATGCTCTGCTAAGATTCATGCATGATAGAGGATGGAAGAGTAACTCTTCCAACTGATGAAAACATTCAGGACGCACCTTGGGATTCTATTAGCCTGAGGTATGGCACAATATTTCTACCAAAGTGAAAGGTAAGTTGCTTCATCTTATACAATCTACCTGAGAAAGATGCACAAACTACTTTGGATTCAGGAGTTGACATATATCCTAGTTGAATGTTCTACTCTGAGTCATTTACTAAGTATCCATAACTCGTAGTTTTAATGGATTCCAGAGAAATAGGAGGTTGTGTAGCAGGTCTAAGTTTCCGTGTAAGCTGATCCTGGACCATATGACTCAGCAGATCAAGCAAATGCTTAAGACAGTGGATTGCCACATTTTCACAATAGCAAATAAGAAATGTCATGGCAATACCTTTAGGGTTTTTGGGAAAACGCCAAGTCACTTCTGTTGATAAACATTTTCCATTTGGCTTGTTACTGGGCATCTGATTATGAGACACCAAGTAATGATGTCACATGCACTGTCCAGGGTCAACTAAGGTGTTATCTGAGTCATATGACCACAAGTGTTGTAAGTAGGATATATAAGATCAGGTTCAATTATTTCCTGAAGGCACAAGTTACATCAGTAAGGCACAAGTTGCATGAGTAAGTGATTTAGACACCCGTTGTCCTTACTCCTGCTGCACTGATCTCTCTCCCTTAATCCCCACCGAAGGCCTTAGGTCTTATTCCTTATGATATGTAACTGAGGAAGAGAAAATTTAGACCTGGTTTCTAGGTATTTTTTAAAAATATGTTGGTTCTACTCCAAAGTGGATGACTTTAGCATTACACTTTTACTCGGGAATAGTCTTAAAGGATTGAGAAGAGAAATTCTCCAAGTGGGCAGAACATCAGATTATTTATCTAGTTGTCTACTTAGACTGGAAGGAGGCATAACTAGAGAAGTGGATCTACACTGATTCATGCGCAATGGAAAATAGTTTGGTTAGATAGTACTATACTTTGGATGTGCCCCTAAAATTCATGTGTTGGGACCTGCATCATAAACGGATTAAGTGAAGGCTTAATCCCTTCATTGTGTCCCAGGGTGGGGCCTCTGGGTATAATAGGCCTGTTAGGGTGGGGGCCCTATGATTCAGTTCTGGTAAATTTATAAGAGGGGAAAGGAGATCAGAACAAGCAGAAACTTTTTCTGCTCAAAATCCTCCCCTCTGCCATGTGGCTTCCCCTAGAAGTTGGTCCCTAGCCCTTGGCACTCCAAACCACGAGCTGAATGAACTTCACCCAGTGATTCATAAGGTATTTTCAGGAGCAATCCAATAGCAAACTAAGACAGATAATTAGAGATCTCAGTACAGAAATGAACAAATTATACAGGAATTAGCAAAATTTAGAAATCAGTGAAGTATAGGGAAAAGTTATAAGAAAAAGCCTCTGGGGAGCCAGCAGTTAGCATAATGGCTATGTCGTTGGACTCCCATGTAGTCGACCGCAGTTTGCTTCCCGGACCTGGTGGCTTAAAACTCATGCCGGGTGCGTGTGTGCGCGTGTCCAAGATCCCGAGAGGAGAATGCAGAAGGGATTGCGGCGTGACCATACCCCCTGGGGGGTGATTTCTCGCTTTCTGTCTCTATGTCTCTCTCTGTCTGTCTGGCGCGCGCATGCGCCCTATAGCAAAAAACCCCCAAAAAAAAAAAAAAAAAAAGAAAGAAAGAAAAAGAAAAGGCCTCTGAATAGGCATAGATTCCGGTGTTATTTATGTTCCATATGAATGAAAACCAAAGGTATCCACTGCAGATGTTTCTCAATAATCGCAAGATTTCAATGTTCCATTCTATAGCTAATAGTGACCCTCTTTTCCTAGCCATGACAATGTTTACTCAATGAACTCATGAAGAAAGTGGCCATAGAGACTGTACCTATGTTAAAAAATACAGGTTTTACCCCTCTCTCCCAGAAGCTTATCTGGTTGGAGTTACTGCTAGGTACCCAAGCTTTCAACAGCAGAGACAAGGGGGACTATCAAGCTTTCTGACAGTAGGTAGGGACAGCAATTTGATCTTTTCATGCCCCAACAATTTCTTCCAGCATCACTACCCATAGACTAACTGAACACGCTATTTACAATTATGATACTCTATTTAACACATATGGTAAGATTTTATTTACTAAAGATAAGCAAAATAGTATCTTACACATTCTCTTCTGCATGTGACCTTCACTTTCTCCTATGGGAGTTTCTCTATCCCCTTGAATCTGGGCAAATGCTTTGACTGTTTTGACCCTTTAAATATTGCAAAATGATGCTATACACTTAACTGTCCTGGGCTTTTAATTCCCACCTCTTGGAAACCAGTTGTCACATATGACTTTCTTCAATCACCATGCAGTGAAAAGCCCTAGAGGATGAGATGTCAAGTAAGGAGAGGACAAGAAGCACCCAGACACCAGCCATGTGAGAAAAGAAACAATCTAGGTCATGTAGGCCTTGTCAAGCCTTCAGATGACTTCAGACTCAGTCATTATCTGACTGAAATGGCAAGACCCTAACTAAAAACCACCCAGTTGATCTTAATCATTATTATGAAAAACAATAATGCTTTAAGCAGGTAAATCTGAGGTCCATTCATTACACAGCATATGTACCCCGTACATGTAATTTCTGGCCAAGGAACTCATTTTACAACAAAAGGAGTAGGGGAATAGGATTTATATCCATGGGATACCCTACCATTTTGAAGCAGCTTGCTTAATAAAGCAATGTTATGATCTACTGGAGGCTCAGTTCCAGTGCTAGATGGCACTGTGGGTTTTGGTGCTATACTACAAGATAGATGTGCTACAAGATAGATAACCTGAAGTATCATCCAATGCATGAAGTTGTATTTTCCACAACCAGAATACATGTAGAGATTGAGAGGGAGTGGTTCTCTTACCATTGTCCCTAATGGATAACTTGCAAAGTTTTTTTTGCTTACCAAAGCAAAAGGGGTCAACTGTAACTCAATTTTCTGTTTACTTGGGATCTCCAATTCCCAGGCATTACTATAATCCCTTTCTTTTTTTCTTTTTTTTTTTTTTTTGAGAGGTTTTTGCTATAGGGTGCGTGCGCTCGCCAGACAGACAGAGAGAGACAGAGAGACAGAAAGCGAGAAACCACCCCCCAGGGGGGATGGCCACGCCGCAATCCCTTCCCCTCCATTCTCCTCTCGGGATCTTGGGCACGCACGCACACACGCCTGGCGTGAGTTCTAAGCCACCGGGTCCAGGACACGAACCACGGTCGACTATGTGGGAGTCCAACGACATAGCCATTACGCTAACTGCTGGTCCCACTATAATCCCTTTCTAAATTCTCCCCTGTGACACAGAGAAACTGAGAACTACAGAATCTTTTCCTTATATAATTCTGGTATACACTATGGTAGCTAGAGCCCAAGATTCAAAAGGCAGAAAGAAAGAGAGGCAATTATTGTCGACCTAGTTGCAAGAACAAGTGTGTACAGAGAGCCAACATCAGGTCTCACATAACTTCTGGGTGCCTGTCTCGAGAAGCACTTAAGTAGGTGCTACAGAATGAATTGGTAGAAGCTTCACGGAGGTTCTTGAGATTTGCAGTAGCTTCTAGACAAGGTACAGTCACCCCTTTCACTGCTAAAGGCTGGGAGAGCTGGGGACAGGTTCCCTGACTTTCACTACCTCTCCCTTCCTATGGGTATGGAAGCCTCAAATGACCTGTATTAAACTTCTTTTACTTAAAATAGTGTATGACTTCTATTTTCTCAAAGGACCTTAATTGATAAACTGCATAACACATTAATTTTTTATTCTGCAAATATATCTAACATTCAGTGTAGCACAATGAAGAACATCGAGGATATAGAAAAGGGGGGAGAAATGGAGCTAGGTAATCATACTCATGGTTGACATTCATATGACAGCCAGTCTTAATCTCAAATCACTTTACACTGTAAGGTCAGTAGAAGTTCTTAGTTGGGCCTTCTTTCAATTCCTAAGACATGCTAAGTAAGATCACACATGATGTTTGCACCACTGTTTTCCCCCCCTACTTTCCACAGAGCTGATTCCTTCTCATCTTATGGATCTCAGCTTGAATATCACCACTCAAAGTAGACTTTCCTGACCACATGGTCTGAATTAATGTCCGTATCCTCACAGTGTTACCACCTGTCATGGTATCCTGCTTTTTCCTTTTGTCCCTTGTGTTATAATTTTTCATTAGATATTTGGCTGTTTACTTGAATGCTGCCTCTCTCCCATCAGACTGTAAGTCTCACAGGAGAACACAAATCATGTCTGCTTTTCTCACCATTGGCTACCCAGCAGCTAGCACAATACGCTCATTAGAACTCATGGGGGGGCCAGCCGGTGATGTGGTAAGGCACTGGACTTCCCCATGGCTGTGTTTCCAGTCACAGACCCAGCAACTTGAAAATCATGCTGGTATGCATGTGCGCATGTGTGACCAAAATCCCGACAGGAGAATGAAGAAGGGATTATGGTGTGGCCATTGCCCCTGGGATTTCTCACTTTCCTTCTCTCTGTCTCTCTCTAGTGAGCAAATGTGCCCTATGGCAAAAATCTAAAAAACGAAACAAAACAAAAAACAAAACCTTAATGGAATAAATAAATAAAATTGTGTAGAATCTTGTCCTCCTATAAATCCCAAAGCATCACTTTTGCACTTTTTTTGTACATTTATAATTTGGGAGACTTATCACAGAAATGAAATGCCTAAAGTCAGAAGATGTCAACTGGGGAGTTACTCTTGGCATTCTTTCCTAAAACTTATTCAGTCTCTATAAATATTATACTGCAAGTTAAGAGCATAATTAAACATTTAACCAAGAGTTAATTTCCTAAAGGTAATTTTGGATTGGGGTTAATTTTAATGGGTCTCAGAGGTGTCTTAAAACACGGAAACAGGAAGAAACTGAGAAACTGAGAAATTATTACACAATTTCTGAATTGAAAAATTGGCCTTAGAAGGGATATGAAAAAACAGAATCTACATAGCTCTGTCTTACTTTTAGACAGTTACTGAAGAGGTCTCAGAGTGAACCTCTCTGTAGTCAAATGAAGTTCCTGACACCTTTTTAATTTTTAAAATTTTACGATTTTTAAACCTAAGTCTATGAATTTTATCCTTGTCATAGTTACACTGAAAAATAAGAAAAACATAAGGCATAACAAAACCATAAGGATGTACTTGTATTTGGACACTTTTATTTAGTCATCTATTTAAAAGGTGTATTATTAAGAACATTCCTGTGACAGTTTAACATCTTCATTACACAAGAAACATGCATTGCGTCATGGAGGGATACTCATTTCCCTAGCTGTTTCCATAAGCAGGTTACGGATTGGCTCTTTTTATCTCTAGACATTTTCTCTTGCTTTGTTTTTCCCAAAGATTACATCATTGGTCTCCTGGGCCTCCATTGTAGGAAGAACAGGCCAAAAGGATGATATTTTGGAACTACCAAATGTCTAGGAAAATATCACTTACTCAGCCACAAACATGTATGTAACTAGTATCTTGGTGGATTTTAACATCAGCATGGTTATTCAGTCATCATTATCATCATCTCGATAACATTTATCTATTTGGTCACACTAAAAAAAAAAGTACGTGCTTTAACTAGGAGATTAATTGCAGTTGCAGATAATAATTCTCCTTAGAAGTGTTAAGTTTTATACTGAAAGTATTTGGCCTAGTTTTAGTTTACTATTATGTGTTGAATACTGAGTTACTAACAATGATAGAAATAAGTTTAACATGCTTCCGTTTAAAGATGCTATGACAATGTATTTTCTCATTTAATTCTAGCAATTGAAATATAATAGTATTTTAAATATATTTATTAAATTGTGTTTCTTTTCTTGAAATAGTCTTTAAGGAAAACCTTAAAGATGACCATTATTCCTGATGAATTTTCTTAAGAATTCGTAAAAAGACATTGATATGACTTCTTGACTAATATCATGTTACCATTCTCCTATTTCTTTGCTAGTAAGATGTTAAGATTTTAAGATAATGCATAGGACTGAGGTTTGGGCATGTCATTGGTAAGATATAGTTGGTTACAATAGCAGTATTACAATAATCAAAATTGGGCATTTTTTTAAAGGTTTTTTGCTATAGTGTACTTGCATTTGGTGGAGAGTCAGAGAGTAAAAGTGAGAAATCTACCCCCAGTGGGGATGTCCACAACCACAATCCCTTCTCCATTCTCCCCTCAGGAATCTGGGCATGCACGCACATGCCCTCCAAGTTTTTCAAGCCATTTGTACCCAGTACTTGAACCTTGCTGTCAGTCATATGGAATCCACCGCCTTAACCACCATGCCACCTACTGGCCCTGGCATTTAATTTTGTTTAGTGCAGGAAATCAGCTTATTGTTTTTGTAATAAAAGCTAGTTTGTGGTAAGAACATACTTTTAGGAATATTTGTATTGCATCTTGCATAAAGTTAATAGAAAATGGACTTTAAATAAAACTACGTAAACGGCACATCTCAGTGATGTAAGTAGAATAGTAAAAAGTGAAGATGGGGGAACCAGCAGTTAGCATAATGACTATATCGCTGGACTCCCACGTAGTCAACCGCGGTTCGCGTCCTGGACCCGGTGGCTTAAAACTCACGCTGGGCGCATGTGCGTGCATGCCCAAGATCCTGAGAGGAGAATGGAGGAGAAGGGATTGTGGTGTGACCATCCCTCCTGGGGGGGTGACTTCTCGCTTTCTGTCTCTATTTCTCTCTCTCTGTCTGTCTGGCGAGCGCACACGCCCTGTAGTGAAAATCTCTCAAAAAAAAACAAAAAAAAAAAAGTGAAGATGAAAAGGTAGCAGATTACAAGGTCATCTCCACCTTCTTTTTTTTTTGGAGAGGTTTTTGCTATAGGGTGCATGCGCTCGACAGAAAGAGACAGAAGGCAAGAAATCCCCTCCCCCCCGGAGGGATGGCCATGCGGCAATCCCTTCTCCTCCATTCTCCTCTGGGGATCTTGGGCACGCATGCACCTGTGCCCAGCGTGAGTTTGGACACCGAGTCCAGGACTCAAACTGCGGTCGCCTACATGGGAGTCCAATGACATAGCCATTGTGCCAACTGCTGGTCCCAATCTCTACCTTTTTACTAAAGTCCTTAAACCCCCTGGTGTCCTTCTTCCTTCTAGGCCTCTCAACACATACATTTGTTTTTTCATTGTAGAAATTTTGGAAGGTCTAGAAAAGTGTAAAAGACATATATTTAGGGGTCTTAATTATCACTAGTAATTCTATTATCATACAGCAATGACCAGTGTTAATACTTTTATTTTTGAAAGCTCTTTGCTATAGGGTGCGTGTGCTCACTGAGAGACAGAGATACAGAAAGAGAGAAATCACTCCCCAGGGGGGACAGTTATGTCGCAGTCCTTTCTCCATTCTCCTGTCAGGATTTTGGGCACGCACACACATGCGCCTGGCATGAGTTTCAAGCCTCTGGGTCTGGCACTCAAACCACGTGTGGCCATGTGGGAGTCCAGCGATATAACTGTTATGCCATCTGCTGGCCCCCATTATTAATACTTTTATTTATATCTTCCCCGCATATTATATATATAAAATTATATTTACATTATGTAAAGTCATATTATATATATATGAAATTATGACTATACTATTTTGGTACCTGTTTTTGTCATTATGTATCTACCTTTTTTCTCATGGTGAAATGGTCTTCCAAAATATGAAAGTTGTGATTTGAGGAGGGCTTAAAAACATACTTATAGCCATGTAAACAGTAATGATAAGCATAATCACTTAAAAAATCAATACATCTTGGGACCAGCAGCTGGCATAATGGCTATGTCACTGGACTCCCAGGTAGTCAGTCATGGTTTGAGTCCCAGACCTGGTGGCTTAAACTCACACCAGGCGTATGTGTGTGCATGCCTAAGATCCTGAGAGGATAATGAAGGAGAAGGGATTGCAGTGTGGCCATCCCCCAAGAGAGGTGATTTCTTGCTTTCTGTCTCTCTGTCTCTCTCTTGTCTTTCTGGCAAGCGCACACCCCCTACAGCAAAAACCTTTAAAAAAAAAATACGTCTCTAAGAAAACTAGCATTAGAGATAGTAGACAAGCAAATAAATATATCCATCTCTATTAATATATACTTTGACTTTTTTTTTCTTAAATTATATTTTACTCTTTGCAAAATTTTACTATGAATATACTTCCCCTTAATTCTTTGGTATATACTTTTCTAGTTATAATGTGATGTTAAGGTTTAAATATTTAGTCATATACATTTATAATTTAAATAATTCCCTATTACTGGGCATTTAAGCTATTTACTGTATTTCATTACTATTTATAAATGTGTCTTACAAATCTCTGAACATAAATCTTTTAGTTCTTTAACAAAATCATGCTAAATTTGGGTTATTGATGTGGTGGTGAAGGTAGCTGGATCCCACATGGCCAACTCTACAGTTTGAGTTCCAGGTTCAGTGGTCTGAAAACATGCTGCCTGCATGTGTGCATCTGCCCCAAATCTGAAAAGATTAAGAGATTGAGAGGGGATTGCAGTGTGACCCTTCCCCAAGATAGAGGCTTTCTCATTTTTCCTCTGTCTCTCTCTGGTGAGTATACACGCCTTCTGGCAAATTGAAAAAAAATTATATTTTATGCTAAATTTATTATAGTCTAGTCTTAAATACATATTAAAAGCTTATGAATTTCAGTTCTTAATGTCTTTGGACCTCAGTTTCCCTATATATAAATTTAGGGGGTTGGATCACAGCTCAAATACACTCCAATTCTAAAAAATGTGAATTGTAAACTCAGTAGATCCTTAATAATTGGGTGAAACAATTTTTGAACTCTTGGAAGAGATGTGACACATAATCATGTCTTTGAAATGAATACAAAGAGGGTGTGTGTGTGTGTGTGTGTGTGTGTGTGTGTGTGTGTTGTGTGGGAAGAGGGCATATACAGAACTATATAGTGGAATCATCTTACTTAAAGATTTGGGAGACAAGTGTTTTTGTTTTTGTCTGTTAAATACAGAGTGAGTAAAATCCAAAAAAAGATCCACTAATTTTTTAAGATGAAAAAGAAAGCATTTTGGAAAAAATCGTATTTCTGCTTGTGGTGCTTTGAACTTCACCCACTGAAGACAGGGATTATTTCCCATTGCCACTGGGAGGGGATGCAAGGTTCTGATTAAGATAAAATGAAGACTGGGAACCAGCAGTTAGCGTAATGGCTATGTCGCTGGACTCCCACGTCATCGACCGCGGTTCATGTCCCGGACCCAGTGGCTTAAAACTCACGCTGGGTGTGTGTGCGTGCGTGCCCAAGATCCCGAGAGGAGAATGGAGGAGAAGGGATTGCGGCGTGACCATCCCCCCTGGGGGGTGATTTCTCGCTTTCTGTCTCTATGTCTCTGTCTGTCTGGCCAGCGCACGCGCCCTACAGTGAAAATCTCTCCAAAAAAAAAAAAAAAGATAAAATGCAGACTTATCAGTTAACTCAAACCATTTGACAACTGCTATGACATTAAGCGTAACCAGGCTATTTGAAGTTGTTCTTGGTCTTGGAATCTAAACACACACATTCCATTCATTTCACTGCTTTACTCCAGAAATTGGCAGAAGTTAGTTTGACTTTATGAATTCTTTGTAAGCCCTCTTTTTGCTTTCTACAATTTTATTTAACTTCTCACTTTTTTTAAAAACCAGGTCTAGCTTTTATAAACATACAGCAAATACTGACCACAAGATGTAGTGATTTTTTTTTCTCATTTATTTTATACCCAATGGCAAGTGTTTACTTTTGCAATAATAAACCCTAGTTCAAGTATTCTATATCTTCACATTAAATGCACCACATGAACTTGATTTTTTTAAATTAAAATAGTTTTTAAAATAAAATGCAAGGGTCAAAGAAAAATGAACTGAACCAACGGTAGCCAGTCTTTCCTACCACAGAGGGGCAAGAGAAAATCTCGTATGACATTTCAAAATCCAAATGGACTTAAAGGCTTACAAGAAAAAATTCGTAGCAAAATAAATAGCTATTATGAGCAAATTCCGTCAGGGCCTTGATTTATTATTTTTTTAAAAAACTGTAAAATCGACAAAGCGTTCAAAGGCCACCAATCACTGCAAAATGAAGAACACTCGAAGTAGAAAATCTAAAAAAATCTTGACTTCTATTCCCTATATCCAGGTGGTAAATAACTTTTATTCTTTCATTTTTCCCTTTTTAACGTATTCATTAAAAATTTTTAATTGTTTTAAAAAGGGTCGCTTCCAACGTCGGTGGCCGAAATTGGCACGCGACACGAAAGGTCAGCAACGCGGTCAAACAGGGACACGCTCGGCGCGACGTCTCAGGACCTCCTCGTCCCTCCCGCTGTGACAATGACGCGAACCAGCTCTCAGAACGCCCTAGGACTGTTAAATCCGCTCTCTCAGCTGAACTTGCCTTCGGGAGCTCCCCGCAAGCCTCCGGCCTTCGGGAGCATCTTCAGGGCCCTTCTCTCCTTGAGTCCGAGTAAACTAAAAGTTAAAAATAATAAAATAGGCGGCCCGAGTTAACCCTGCAAACGAATCGGCAACGCCCTCCTGGACCGTAACAAACTCTGTACTGGGAACCCAGGCGACCGCTAAGACCCGCCAGGTCTCCGCAGCCCCCGCGCGCACCACGCCCAAACACCAGCAGGCTGACCCGGAAGTGCTCGGCGGCCGCGGCGGCGGCGGGGGCGCGGCCAAACCGGCGCACACGCGC